GAGAGAGAGAGAGAGAGGTGTCTACAAAGTAGGAAAGAAGAGAATATAAAATTATATTTATTTGCTATAATAGATGGTTTTTGACTTCTTACAAAGGTGCAGTGTTTAAACATGGATCCACAAGACTTGAGCAGGTTGTCTCTTTTGTCCTTGGATATTATGTTGAACTAAGAAAAAAATGAATGAATGTCAAATGAATAAATTCTAAAAATGTCTATTGTTCTTTTATGTCCTCATTAGGTCTTTGATTGAACAAACTAAAAGCAAACAACCCATTAACTGTGTTATGTATTTATGTTGAATGGAATTTAAATGCACTGGCTCAGATTTAAAACAGGGTTGGTTTTGTTTGTGGGCAGGCAGCCAACTGCAGATGTGTCTCGTTGTTTGGTCCCGTCATGTTTTTTAGGGAGTAATAATGGACATTTATGTTTGGTGATGATCAGTAACAGCTGTGATACACAGACTCATATATAAAAACATGATGTATAAATAAAGATGTGTAACATTATTTTGGGTGTTGCCTCAGGTTTCTTTTACTTCATATAGATGAATATGACTGCATTGTGTATTTTTGACTATTGGCAAAAATTATGAATGCACAGTTTCTTTAAATCAAATGATGATGATTCTTTTTTTTACAGATAATCTTCTTAAAAGAAACCTCAAACAATTAATGCTCTTACAGTCATAATTATGTTGCTTCAAGTCATTACTATAATGTGATATTACTGAGGTACGTGTTTTTGACCCATTTCATCATGTGTATTAGAACTACTGAGCTAATGCTCGATTCTGATGTGTCCACTAGCGCTTGCATTAAATTGAGTTTATTGGCATTGTCAACCACAGCATGTATAACAATTTAACTGTTCTGCTAGGACCATTAACTTCATACAAGCAGCCCATTAGTAGAGGTTGAATGGGTGGGAAGAGACAGCATACTGTGTCTGTGTGTGTGTTTGCCAGCTTGGTGGTTCCAACTGTCCTCAGAAGAGTAGAAAATATAGCTTGTGTGACAGTTCTGGTTTCTGTATGTTGGGTGAAAGTTTGACAGTGAAGATAAATAACACTACAGGAGCTGCGCCAATGAGCCACTGGTAAGACCAGCCTGCAATCCCCCTCTCCAGTCACACACGCACGGACACACACACACA